AATAGTTGCTCTTGATTTCGCTCTTCTTTCAACTAAAATCTAAAATCAAACACAAAACCTTCAATTCAAAAGAAAAATAATAAAATAAACAAAACACAATTAACATACTTGTTGCAATCTCATGATGCTCAAATCACAACAAAAATTGTTAACTTGAACTATTCATTATATGCTTGAATTGTTAGCAATCAATTCCTTCAGCCACAACAGTGATCAAAAGAAAATGAGATAGCTTGGCCTTCTTCGTCAAGGACTCATCCAACCTTATTGACGGTGACCTAGACGGTGGTGTTAGCGAGAGATTCTGAGTTTAGAAATATCGTGAAGGAAGACATTGGTAGGATTGAGGCAATTGAGAGCGCATTGAAACCCTAACGCACAAACACCAAAATTGAAAAAGGACATGTTGCTTAAAATGCCATTTTGAATTGTTTTATGAAAAACAGAGCAGGTTTGAGAGTGAGAGAGAGATTAGGAGAAAAAGGGATTTCTTAAGACATGCGCAAAACGTATAAAGAAAAAAAAATTGAGGGGACGATGGATATCCGTTGGAGGTGGATCTTTAAATGGCCGCGAAGAAACCGCCATTATACTACGTTTTTCCTGTACTGTTAATTCAATTAAACAAACATAAACCAACTCTGTTTTACTATTGCTTGATAAATTGAGTCTGGTTGATTAAATATACGTTATAATATGGAAAATATAATATAATAAAAACAATTTAGGATATATTGTTGCATTATTTCCAATGACGTTATAATATTTTTCAACTACCATTTACATGTATGATTCGTTCATCAAGAGATTATAGGACATGAATAGAATGAGATGGAAGGAGGGAAACCTATGTAATAATGAGTTTAACACCATCACCGTGTTTTCTAATTCTTTTGCTTCTGATATGCTATTGAAAATGATTTATTTATAGATTTTGGCTTACTGTGTTGATTGATGTTTAAGTTTGCATTGCTGGGGTAAGTTTTTTACAAAATTGAAAGGTCCATATGCAGGGAGCAAGTGCTTTGGTATGTAGAGACTATAGAGCAAGCTATACAACAACTATAATTTATATCAGCTGAGAACTAAAAAGAAAAAAGGTAACACAAGAGAATGGATCAACTCAAATCCAAGCCCATACGTCAGAAAACATGCAGGCCCATACTCAATCTCCTCAATCAAATGCTCATGCAACGTCACTGATATATGAGCATGTGATAATTATGACAGAATGAGAGATGGAATTAGTTGAAACTGAATTTATTATTTGATTGAGTTTGTTAGATTATCAGTTTTCTGTTAAGTATCTTTCAAGTATCGTTCTGTGTAATTAGCTCTTTTATATATATATATATATATATATATATATATATATATAGAGGAGAAGCTTCATTGTAATATTCATTAATTCAATAATGGAAAGTTTCTTTACTTCATTTTTCGTGTCTGATATGATATCAAAGTTTCCATAGCTCTGGTACTCTGCTTTCGAATCTTGCATTCTTGTTTTCTTCCTACTGCAACAATGGAAAATTTCAACCTGTGTTAGATTACCATACAAATCCCTCACATTCTCTCTTTCTCCATCCAAAGGAGAATCCAGTCACTGTTAGTTTCACCAAAACAATTATCATAGCTGGGCGAGAGGTATGACTGTAGCATTACTTTCGAAGAATAAGGTTGGTTTTATTGATGGAATGATAACTGATCCACCAGCTGATGATCCATCGTATGTTCAATGGCAAAGATGCAACACAATGGAAATGACATGGATTCACATATCCATATTTGAATTTATTGCCAATTCCGTATTGTGGATAGAGCGTGCTCGAGATGCATGGCTTGATCTTCGTGAGAGGTTTTCATAATCGTATATTTTTTGAGTTTCTGATCTCCAAGAATAGATCTATAAGCTGAATCAAGGAAATCAAATTGTGACTGAGTTTTTTACAAAGCTCAAGACCATGTGGGGTGAAGTAGAAATTTTGAAGCCACTACTTGTATGTGAATGCACTCCATCTTGCACTTGTGGAGCAACATTGAAGATGCGTGAATATCATGATAGAGATCACACAATCAGATTCCTCAAAGGTCTTAACGAACAATATGCAGCAGTGCGTTCACAAGTGATGTTGATAGATCCACTGCCAAATGTTAACAAAGTTTTTTCCATGATTGTTCAACAAGAAAGGAAATTTGTCTTTGAAACTAATAGTGGAATTTTAACAAATCCATAGTCCTTTACTGCGTTCAATAATAGTGCAGGTAATGGAGGTCGTAGATCTTTTAATCAACAAGGAACGAGAGGTGGCAGAGGACGTGGAAGGAACAATTTTGGACGAACACTGTCTGGAAACAAGATCTGCACACATTATGGCAAATTCAATCATACCATAGAAACCTGTTATCAGATCCATGGCTATCCACTAGGTTATCGCTCTCAATTGAACTCAGATACACATGTTAGCAACAATGTGCAGACTTCCAGTATATTGAAGAGCAACTCACAAACTCTAAAAATAAGCCAACTTCCTCCCAGTTTACTCAAGAACAATATGAACATATCCTTTCACTTCTTCAAATTTCACAAAATCCTACCACGAGTAATATGACTCCCATACACCTTACAAATGTCACTCAAGTCTCCCACATTGATTCCAATAAACCAGGTATCTCACATACACGATGGATCATTGACATGGGAGCCACAAATCACATCTCATATGTTACTTCAAATTTTTATTCTCTTTGTAAAATCAATCCTATTCACATTACTTTACCTAATGGTTCACAAGTCATATCTTCGTTTTCTGGAACAATACATTTATCATCCACACTTGTTTTACTTGATGTCCTATATGTGCATGAATTTCATGTCAATTTAGTTTCTATTACTCAATTGCTTAAATCTGTCAACTGCTCATTAATATTTCACAATCAATTTTGTTTCATCAAACAGATACCTTCCCAGGAAATGATTGGTTCTGTTGAACTATGGAATGGTCTATATGTGATATCTTCCAAGGAGAATTAAGTTTGTAGTGCTCAAGGAAGTGATTGTAATGCTAGAAGAACTGAAGACAGTGGTTTGAATAAGAATTCAGATAATGTAGCCCTATGACATAGGCGTTTAGGGAATTTATCAGATGTTGTATTACATAAAATGTCCTCGCAATTTCCCTTTATTAGTTCATCTAATGTACAACCATGTGATGCTTGCCATATGGCAAAACAAAGACATCTTCCATTTTCTGTTAGCCAAAATAAATCGACCAAAATATTTGACATTCTCCATGCTGATACATGGTTTTCCACTCCTTCCATCTATGGTCACAAATACTTCCTAACTGTTGTTGATGATCTTTCACATTTTACATGGGTGATTTTAATGAAAAACAAAGGAGAGACACAGTCACATATCCAACATTTTTTTTGCTTATGTTGAGAATCAATTTCACTCAACTATAAAGATATTCAGAAGTGATAATGGTGTTGAATTTTCTATGACTGATTTCTACTTTAAAAAGGGAGTTGTACATCAAACAAGTTGCATTGAGACACCCCAACAAAACGCCATTGTTGAGCACAAACATCAACACCTGCTCAATGTGGCAAGATCATTATCTTTTCAAGCCTCTTTGCCTCTTTCATTATGGTCATTTGTTGTGACTCATTGCTGCACATTTAATCAACAAAACTTGCTCTCCAGTGATAAATGGCAAGACACCATATGAAATACTACATGGAATACCTCCCATACTTATCCATCTGCGTGTCTTTGGATGCCTGTGTTATGCCTCAACACTTCAGGCCCATCGTACCAAATTTGCACCTAGAGCTTGCAAAGCTGCCTTTCTCGGGTTCAAGGTAGGAACCAAGGGATTTTTGTTATATGATCTCATCTATTATTCCATTTTTGTTTCAAGAAATGTGGTTTTTTAGGAGAACCACTTCCCATTTCAACAAGCTATTTCAACATCCACGGAACCATCTACACTACCACCTGATTTAACCACTCCTCTTGATTTTGACACTTATCCATTAACCCACAGCCTCCCATTACTTTACATCTCATTCATACCACAGACATTATAGCTCAAAACTCTCGTGATGCCACTGATATGACCTCTAATATAGAATCTGGTGCTTCTACTACTTTGGTTCCTTTGAACACTACTCTTCGACGTTCTACACGCATCAGACATTCTCCTCGATATTTGGAAGATTATCACCATGATCTTTCCACTGTTCAGTAGCACTCTTCATCTCTAGGTTCTTTTCCTTATCCTTTATCTCAATTCCTTTCTTGTGATAATTGTTGTCCTTCATATAAATCCTTTTGTTTTAACTCTTGCACACACACTGAACCAAAGTCATATTCCCAAGCTATTCAACATGCACATTGGTAGAAAGCCATGCAGGATAAGTTATTTGCTCTCTCTTTAAATAACACATGGTCTCTTGTTACACTACCACCCGGAAAACAACCTATTGGTTGTAAATGGGTCTATAAGATCAAATACCTCTCTGATGGCTCCATTGAACGCTACAAAGCGCGTTTAGTTGCAAAGGGGTTCCTCCAAATGGAGGGTATTAATTATTTTGATACATTCTCCCCAATTGCAAACCTCACCTCAGTTCTCACACTCCTTGTTGTTGTTGCCATTAAAGAATGGCACCTTGAGTAATTGGATGTCAACAACGCCTTCTTACATGGTGACCTCTATGAAGATATCTATACGGACTTACCAAAAGGACTCTCAGCTTCCTAGCCTAACACTATTTGTAAACTCAACAAATCTCTATATGGTTTGAAGCGAGCTAGTTGTCAATGGTATGCTAAACTTTCTTCTGCACTCATAACTCTTGGCTGCCAACAAGTAGCTGCTGATCATTCCATGTTCACTTTTACATCCAGTGATTCCTTTACTTTTTTGCTTATATATGTTGATTATGTTATTCTCTCGGGTAACTCTCTTACCGAAATATCTCGTGTAAAAATGTTCCTTGATCAACAATTCAAAATCAAAGATCTTGGCACTCTTCATTTTTTCTTGGGACTTGAAGTGACACGTTCCCAAAAAGACATTGTTCTTAATCAACGAAAATATGCTCTTGAGCTTGTTTCTGATGCTGGGTTGCTAGCAGTAAAACCCATGTCTTCTCCCATGGATTCATCAATTCGCCTTGCTCATGATCAGGGTTCTCCACTTGCTGATGCTGCTTCTTATAGGCGTCTTATTGGACGCTTATTGTACCTGACCACAACTCATCATGACATAAGTTTTGCAGTTCATCATCTCTCTCAATTTGGTTCCAAGCCCATTGATATTCATCTCTCAGCAGCTCACAGAGTGTTACATTATCTCAAGGGATCCCTAGGCCATGGTTTGTTTTTTCCATCCTCGAGTAATCTTCATTTTCGTTTTGTCACAGGGTTCTGCCTTTTCATTGGTTCTTCATTGGTGTCTTGGAAGTCAAAAAACAAACTATTGTATCACATTCTTCATCCAAAGCAGAGTACTGTCATGTGAGATTCAATGGATACAATATCTATATCAAGATTTACATTTTCCCTGGACTAAACCTGCTATATACCTAGCTCATAATCCCACATTTTATGATCGTAGTAAGCATATTGAACTAGATTGTCGTGCCACTCGTGAAAAAATTATTTATGGACTTCTTCGTTTGCTGCCAATTCCTTCTTCTGCTCAGTTGGCAAACATCTTTACTAAGCCATTACCTTCTCCTGTGTTTGCATCCATGCTATCCAAGTTGGGCTTGATTAATTATTGTGCTCATCTTGTGGGGGGGGGGGTAACACAAGAGAATGGATCAACTCAAGTCTAGGCCCATACGTCAGAAAACATGCAGGCCCGTACTCAATCTCCTCAATCAAATGCTTATGCAATGTCGCTGATATATGAGCATGTGACTAATCATGACAGATGGAATTAGTTGAAACTGAATTTGTTATTTGATTGAGTTTGTTAGATTATCAGTTTTCTGTTAAGCCTCTTTCAAGTATTGTTCTGTGTAATTAGCTCTTATATATATAGCAGAAGCATCATTGTAATATTCATTAATTCAATAATGGAAAGTTTCTTTACTTCATTTTTCGTTTCTGATAAAAGGAAGACATCTTATATTTATGATTCAAGCATTTATGATTTTGTTACAAGATTATATTATGACATATCACATCTACAATCTTAGTATTTATAGTTTTATTTATTGTAATTACAAAAAAATTAGTAAATAATTAAAAAATAAACACAAACAAAATGAGATTTCTTTTGTATTAAGTAGTGAATATTTAAAAGTAATTAGTTACGTACCTTTTTATTGAATGATTAAGAGGAGTATGTACTCTTTTACTTAAAACAGGAAAGTTTAAAACTTAGATGACAATAATTATACAATGGTGTGTAAAATAGGTAAATCCAATTATTCATTTATTTCCAAATTTAGTGTAGATGTACTGAGTCTTCAGCACTGTTGTGAAACACGACCTGATCTGAAACCCGCCGAATCGGTCATCAAACTGGTTCGAGTCAAGCATTGAACCAATCATGCATCAGATCCGGACAAAACTGATCAAAATCGATGACCCGGTGACCCAATCGGGTATGGATTTTTATAAAAAAATCAAAAAACCAAAATTGTTTCATCTTATTAGAAAAAAATGTAGAATTCATTTTAATTTTTTTTTTTATAATTTTATTTGCTAGTATACTCTTCTACAATGACCTCAAATTTCAGCTTCTAATACTGAAGCAATTTGTGGAATAATAAATTAAGAGAATGTGACATGTCATTTCAATATAGATGAATTTGAAAAAAAAATATGAGTTCAATATCATTTAGAGGTATGCTTATAAGGATTCTGAGTTGCAATTTAAATTGACATAGTAATAACATGCATTTTCATTTATTTGTGTTTCGTGAAATTGTAAAAGTGTTATTGAGTAATTTTTGAGCTTATTTAGTGAACCTTGTTTAACTCATTTTAAATATGAAAAATATAATTAAATTTATATGTTCATATTTATATATATTTTTATATATTTATATATATCCGGGTCAACCGGTCCGACCAGTAACCCAATAACCCAGTACCCCGATCGAGTCAGATTTAATAACACTGATCCTCAGTATTAGAGAAGTATTAAAAATAAGATATTTTCGATTAACAGCCTATTTATTTACACCTCTTTAAGAAAACATAATTTTAATTAAGAACATTCATATAAATCTATAGTAATTTGATTAATTTTTAGAAGAAATAAAAAATTATTTTGATATTGTTATAGCAAGTTAAAATAATAACCTTCCAAAAAAAATACTTCTAAAAAAGTTTTCAAATTTACCCAAAAAAAAGGAAAAAGTATTTATCATTTTAAATGATACAAAATTATGTCATTTTTAATAAAACTACATTGTTCTGATATATTTTTACATTCTCTCTCCTCTATTTTTTTCTTCCTAATTTTATAATAAAAGAAAAAATATAAAAATACACAAAAATAACATAATTTTATTAAAAATAACATAACTTTGTGTTATTTAAAAATTACAAACACTTTTCTCTCAAATAAAACAAGAATAAAACTAAAACAACAAGGTGGCATTCGACTACGGTTTTCCAGAACATTGTTTTGGACCTTAATCAAAAGTCTACTCTTATTAATATGGATCCATTGTTGTTGGGTTTCAGGAAATGGATGTCCAGTGAAACCCAATTATCTTATTCAGCGAAAAAACACGTGTCCAAAGGAACATAAAAAAGGAACATCAAGAAAAAAATAAAATATAAAAATAACAATATTAGGTGAACACTTTACCTTTCTATAATTTTTAATATTTAATTACTGTTAAACTCGTTTACTTTTCTAAATGGGTTTTAATGTTTCTTGTAGATAATACGTCGCCATGGCCTTGAAGAAAAAAACAATAAAAGACATTCCTCGTTTTTTTAGGCTGCATGAATTAACAATTTTCATAAAACAAGACCAAGAATATCAGAAAACCCTGGAATCTCCTAGAAGGTTTTCGACTTTTCGGTAACCCCAATTTTGGGGTTTTAATAAACGACAGACTCAAAAATTCGAAATTTAAAAGTTGTTTCTCCTTTGCCGATCATTTTTCCTTTGACAGAATCGTAAGTTACATTATTCCAGATTTTGTCTAATTAATCATATTTGTTGAATTCACATTGTTATTTAATTGTGAATCTTCTGCTAATTCGTTGATTTTGTTTGTTGCGCTTTTTTTTTTTTTCCCTTTCAAAACAGTGTTTTATACTCTCTGTCTTGTGCGCGTGAGAGGGGATAGAGATAGAGAGAAATGGCAAGTGAGTTTGAGGAATCAGCGACAACAACAAAAGCTTCTCTTGGAAGCCCAACTTGGTCGGGTAATAGTTCTAACGAGGTCGGTGATTTTGAATGTAATATTTGTTTTGATTTGGCTCAAGACCCAGTGGTTACACTGTGTGGTCATCTATTTTGTTGGCCATGCCTCTACAAGTGGCTCCATCATCATTCACATTCTCAAGAGTGCCCTGTATGTAAGGCCCTCGTTCAGGAGGAGAAGGTTGTTCCCCTTTATGGGAGAGGGAAAGCACAAACTGATCCCAGGACTAAGTCATATCCTGGATTGGAGATTCCTCACAGGCCCATGGGTCAGAGGCCCCAAACGGATCATCTCGAGCCCAATTCATTTGGGAATTTTGGGTTTGGATTGACAGGGGAATTCATACCCATGGCTGCTACAACCTTTGAGTTTGGTGGCTTTAGACTTTCCACTGCTTAACATTGAATTCCATCCGTTTCATGGTGCAACTGTGTATGGAAATGGAACCACCTCTGGTTATCCCTTCGGGTTTGATTCATTGACCGGTCGAGAACAACATATTGATCGGGACTATGTTTTGAAGAATCTGCTATTGTTGATTGGTGTGCTTGTTCTTTTCACAGTCATTTTTGGGTGGTAAAACCATTTGGATGTTAAGCTGAGGAGTTTTTTTTTTTTTTTTTTTAGAATAAGACATTGTGTGTGTATATTTGTTAGCTGATTCAAAGAGAGAATGTTATACCTTATACTTTATTATAAGAATACGTGTTAGCTACTTCCTTGTGTATAGCTGTGTATATGTATGTCACCTAAGATCCTCTGTGTTTTGTGGGGTTCCATTAGGCACTATATTGCTTGTGTGTCTCTTGTATGTTTTAGAAGTAATTTTAGCTGCTTTATTTGTTATTGATTTATTTAAAGCCAAGTTAAACTGCTACTTGTTTTGAACATTTGACCCGTCTGGTGGTTGGCGTTAATTATGGTGATAAATTTTTATGAAAATTGTTAATTACTTTTTGTGCGTTCCCTTTCCCTTCAAAGACTTTCATTCGTAGCCTCACTGTACTATTGAGAGTTCTTGATAGCACAAGTTCTGGTAGGACAAGTTATCTCTACTACCATTACTGGAGACTGGATTGTGATTTCTAGTACCAACAAAGTAATAATGTCCCTTTGTCTCTATTCCTCACTGCAAATGGGAGAGTGTGGGCGGTTATAGAAAATTACAAGCTCAAGATGTCATAAAGCTCTCCAGATTAAAGTTTATTTACGTAGTTTTTTGGGTCAAATATCAATTGCGTTGGGTACGAAAAGAATCACAAGGCTCTGCAGGATGCTAATGTGAATTGCTATTAAAATTTGAATTGTCATCAAACTTATAAGGATATTAATTTACTATTTATTGATTTAATCGCAGTTGAATCTACTTATAATTAAAGAAATATTTTTAAGATTATATAATATATTAAATAATAAACAAACAAATGAGTTAGATAAAATTTTATATTGACAGAAAAATATTATATTATATATTGTAGTAATGGATCACCACTACAGGCCTAATATCGAGACCCAGACGGATCCGAAAGAAACCCTCTTATTTTGATACTTGCTGACCCAAATTGAAATCTTCCCCCAATGGCTACATTCCAGAATATTAATTCAACCTTTTATTTTTCTGTAGTTTTTGTTGAATTCTTAATTTCGTTTATCAGTTTGTGGTGTTGAATCAGTTGTTGAGTTCCTAATTTTGTTAAATAGTTGTAAATCGCTATCGAAAACATTAATGAAAAATTACACACAGTTCTATCTCCCTCGCTCTATTCTCTTCTTGCTTTCTATCTCACTCAACTTTCTCCTTGCGATCTGAGTCACTACATTTTTCTTGTAAGATAAATAATAATTTTGACTAAATTGTTTGGTTTTTTTAAGTTGTCTAGATCGGTGACCTAATTGGTTCGATCGAATAACTGTTTAGTCCAATCTGGTTTTCAAAATAAAGAGATAATCGTTGTTTGGATTTTGAGTAAAGTAACATGACGCTCTTCGCATATTGTCGTTTCTCTATTTGTATAATGGAGAAAGCTTTTGTTCTTAAAGAAGTTGAAAAACATGTGAAATGAGGATACTGATCTCAAATCTGCAGCTTTTAAACCCTAAAACAGATGTGATCGATTAAGATTTCAAATATTGAGGTTATAGGTAACTGAGAACTATTTAGCTTGACTTTATTTGCAGCGCAGAAGTTTGAAATTTGTAAGAAGCAGTTTTTGAGTATACAAATTAGAAAGGCGTGATTATTTTAGACATAATTAATGGCTAAAATTAGGTATTCGAATTTTTATTTTCACATCAATATAACATTTAATTTCAAAATCTCGACGAGTCAAATAGTTCTGATCCTCGAATTTAATTAAGCAGGACGATACCCATACACAAGATGCCATTAATAGCAAGCAAGTTAGGTGTTTTTACACTGAGTCCATTAATCCGTGGTATTTTAACCTTCGCGTTTTGACTCTCTGGTATTTTCGGGTTGATTTTGGTTCCTAAGAAAATAAAAAATCCAACGTTCTGGTAGGCACGCCAACTTAATGGATGAGCAAAAGAAAGTGAATCATTATTTATTAGGAAGTTGGTCCAATTTATGTCTCTGTACCGAACAAATTGTACCTAGTGCTTTTTCACTCTTTTCCTTCTTATTAATTAATTAATAACTATTTTATCCCTGATTCAAAATTATCTATCAATCTGCTCCTCTTTAATTGATTAAATTGAATATTTAATCGATTAAATAGTCAAAACAAGCAAAAATGATTGTTGGGAGATTTAATCGACTAAATCTCCTTATTTAATCGATTAAATATCCTTATTTAATCGATTAAATATCCCAACAGGTAACAAAGAATTTCAAGTCAATATAATTTTTTAATCGATTAAATATGGAGATTTAATCGATTAAATCTCGAGTCAACCATTTAATCGATTAAAGAGGGGCAGATTGGTGAATAGTTTTGAATCAGGGACAAAATAGTTATTAATTAATTAATAAGGAACAAAAAGGTCAAAAAGTCCGTCTTTGAGTCGAGAATATTTCTAGTATATAAGATATATTGAATTTGGTATATTTTTTTTCAAATTTGAAAAAATTTATAATGTGACGGAAAATAAAAAATTCAAAAATAATGAAACTTCTTTCAAATTTTAAAAAAAATATACCGAATTTGATATATATGAGGTAACAAAAATATTCTCCTTTTGAGTCACGGAGTCCATAAAGAACGTAGGAGAAAAAATGTTGTTCTCCACTCTAATCAATTTAACATACTCAGGAAGTCAAATAAACATTCGAAATGTGCCGAAAAAGGAAACGCTCGCCAGCAATATAGTAAATCATCGAAATGTGGAAGTGTTGGGCAGAGCCCATTAGGGTAGATTGATTATCATCCGCATATTAAATGGAAGCGATAATTTCACAATAAAAGAGTCTAATACCAAACTTAATCTTTAGATTTATGTGTTATTTTATTTAAGGATAGGTTATTTTGCCTACTCTCACTTTGTCTACTTTTGCCTACTCCTTTCGTCACCGTTTGATTACAGTCTAATTCAACTGTCCATATTTACAAAATACATAAATACTTTTCCCCTTTTCTTTTTCCTCAATTCCTCTCACACTCTTTCTCTCTCCTCCCCTTTCTCTCTTCCTTTCAGCTTTACCTATTTTTTTCACCATTATCGATGAACTCTGCCACCAGGTGAACGCACGACAGTGTAGCTTCTTAAATTATCACTGAAGTCACGGGTTCAAGTGAATCAGAAACTACCCCATCATAATGAGTTTGTTGGTAGCAGCAACCAATGTTTCATAGGAGAAGATCTTTTGCTCCTGTGCAGCTTCGTTCTGTATATCTTCGTCACTATTTCCCTCTTATTAAATAAAAATAGAACAAAATCATAGAATTTTAAAATAATCAACAAATTCAGCAACCAGAAAATAAATTCAAAGAAAAGAAATTCAGAAAAGGGTATTTAAAAAAAGAGTTAGATTTTGTTGGTTTACCTCTATTGGAAAGCGAATTTGAAGGGCTTTATGATATTTTAAAAAACAAGTGTTGGGTTTGGTCATGGCGCTCTATGGTTCCCAAAACGAGCCCATGAAACAAAAACGCAGGCATTCTTCAAGCAAAATTGAAAGAAATTAGATGAATTGTTGTAACATACCATAAAAATTTTAGAACTGAAAAAGATTGGGAATTGGAGCAAAAAAAGTTGGGAATTTGTGCACTGAAGAAGACAAACAACTGTTTCAGAATGAGTATGTTCCGTACAAAAATCGTGGATATCTCTGAAAATGAAAATGGAAGCGTGTCGATTTTGTTCACATGACCTCTCTGCCTTTCTCTTTTTCCTTTTCTTTCACGGTCGTACTGTATAGATAGCCCAAGTGCACGCACGCTGAACAAGCATGTTCTTATTATTCAATGATTCATTTACCTATGTTTATAAATTTGTTGATTATTTTAAAATTCTATGATTTTGTTCTATTTTTATTTAAAAGTAAATACTATTTTCGGTCCTTAACAAATTTCACGATACCCGCTTTAGTCCCTAGCAAATAAAAAGGCTATTCGTGGTCCCTAAGAAATTCAAAATGGACCCTTTTAGTTGAAATCATGGTCCCTCACAAATTCAAAAAAGATCCACATTAGTCTCTCAAAAGGACTAAAATGGGCTCACTTTGAATTTCTTAGGGACTATGAATAGCCTTTTTATTTGCTAGGGACTAAAGCGGGCATCGTGAAATTTGTTAAGGACTGAAAATAGTATTTACTCTTTATTTAATAAGAGGGAAATAGTGACGAAGATATACAGAACAAAGCTGCACACGAGCAAAAGATCTTCTCCTATGAAACATTGGTTGCTGCTACCAACAAACTCATTATGATGGGGAAATTTCTAATTCACTTGAACCTGTGACTTCAGTGATAATTTAAGAAGCTACACTGCCGTGCGTTCACCTGGCGGCAGAGTTTCAGCAATAATGGTGAAAAAATTAGGTACAGCTGAAAGGAAGAGAAAAAAGAGGAGGAAAGAGAAAGAGTGTGGGAGGAATTGAGAAAAAAGAAAGGGGAAAAGTATTTATTTATTTTGTAAATATGGACCGTTAGATTAGACTGTAATCGAACGGTAACGAAAGGGGTAGGCAAAGGTAGGCAAAGTGGGAGTAGCCAAAATAACCTATCTCTTTTATTTATATATAATATGTGTTGAATAACGAGAGAGAAGAGAGGAAAATTTGATAAAACTGTGTGTATTGATATGAATAGGAATGTACAATATATAGACATACTAATGGGCTAAGCTCAAACCTAATACAATTAGACCTAATACAAAACCCTAATGAAATAAGGAAAATACTAATTACAATATATTTCTAACACTCCCCCTCAAGCTGGAGCGTATAGGTCATATGCACCAAGCTTGTTACATATAAACTCTATTCGAGGGCCCCTCAAAGATTTTGTAAACATATCTGCTAATTGCTCATTAGAGGGTACAAAACTAGTTTTAATTTCAACAGCAAGAACCTTTTCTCGAACAAAGTGACAATCTATTTCTATATGCTTGGTTCTTTCATGAAACACTAGATTTGATGAAATGTGCAGAGCTGCTTGATTATCACAAATGAGAGTTGCCTGTCCAGTGTCTCCAAACTTAAGTTATCAGAGAAGCTGTTTAAGCCAGATGAGCTCGCAAGTAGTAGTCGCCATGGAGCGGTATTCTGCTTCAGCACTTGATCTGGCAACTACACTTTGTTTCTTACTTTTCCAGGAAATCAAGTTGCCTCCAACAAAGACACAATACCCAGAAGTAGATCTCCTATCAGCTGAACAACCTGCCCAATCAGCATCATAGTACCCAACAACTTTATCATGACCTTTATCTTCATATTCAAG